AGGAGAAAGGAGAAAATGAGGAGTAGCTGTAGAAAGAGGAGAGGGAGAAAGTAAGAGAGCAGAAAGAGAAGAGATTGAGGAGGAAGGGGATAAAGACTGGGAGGAGATGGAGAAGAAGCAGGAGATGGAGGAGGAGAAGAGGATCAAAAGAGACACAGGAGGAAGACTAGGAAGAGGAGGAGATGGAGAAAGAGGAAGAGATAGTGGAGGAGATGGAAGAAGAGGATATGGAAAATTGGGATGAATAGAAGTAGAAGGAAATGGAGAAGAAATCAGGAAAGATGAAGGAGGAGATAAAAGGGAAGGAGGAAGAGGGGGAGAAGATAGAGGAAGAGGCAGAGAAAGAAGGAGGAGGTGAAGGAGATGGAGGAGTACCAGGATGACACTGAGGAGGAGGAGATGGAAGAGGAGGCCATGGAGGAGGAGAAGGAGGTGGAGGGAGAGAAAGGGATGAGGAACATCAGAAGATGAAAGAGGAAGAGATGGAGAAGGAAGAGGAATAGGAGAAAAAGTAGATGAAGGAGAAGGTGCTGGAGGCAAAGGAAGAAGACATAAAAAAGGAAGAGAAAAAAGGAGTAGGAGAAGCATGAGGAAGAAGAAGGAAGGAAGAGACATAAGAAAATGGAGGGAGGGAATGAGAACAAGAAGGGGAGAGACTAGATGGAGGAAGACAAGGAAGAGATGGAGGAGATGCAGGAAGAGAAGATGGAGGAGGAAAAGGAGCAGAAGAGGACAAGGGGGCAGGAGGAAGAGAATTAGGGGGAGGAGGAAGAAAGAGGAGGAGAAAGGCAACAGAGGAGATGAAGGAGGAAGAGAAGGAGGAAGGAGATGGAGGCACAGGAGGAGAAGGCAATGGAGAGGAAGAAGAGAAAGAGCTGGAGAAGGAGAAGAGGAAGACATTGGTGGAGGAGGAGGGGGAGGAGGAGGGGGAGGACAAAGAAATGGAGGAAGAGGAGGAAAAGGAAACAGAGATGGCTGGCCTGGGAGGAGGCTGCAGCACCTGAATTGGGTGATGATGGGAGTGCCCAAGCATCAGGTACTGCATTGCATGTGAGGAGCTTTGTGGGGCCGTATCACGTGGGCAGAGATAGGAAGCGGTCAGAGAAAGATGGCATGTGACAGAGAGTGTGAGCGACACAGAGTGGGAATCACATTGGGAGGAGGAAAGAGGGGAGTAGGGGACCCAGGCCAGCTGTAGGGGGTGCAGCCTCTTCCCATCAGCCTTAGTTTCCACATTTGTTCCTGGAGATGAGTGCTGGTGCATTCTTACCCTAGCTGTACTCCCAAAGGGCACCCCATCCCTCTTTCTGGAATAGTTGTAGCTTCCCCTGCAGAAAAGGAGACAGAGAGCCAAGAGAGGCATAGGTGTGGATTGCTTGGTACACAGTCAGTGCTCAATTAGTGCCGCTTCCTTTTCCTGGGGTGTGTGTGGGGGAGCCAGTAGGAAGCAAAGGACAGAAGGGAGGAAGGGAAAGGGAAGGAAGTGTTTATTAAAAGCTTAGCATACTGCTGGTGCCCAATAAATGCCCATATTCTCCAGGCAGAGAAGCAAGAAGCAGAGGCTGGCAGAGACCATTGTTAGTGGGGACTGGAGGACAAGAGAGAGAAAGCATACTAGCAGTACTCAATAAATGTATTCTTTGTCTTGGAAGAGAGTAAACAGAGAGAGGAGAGAAGAGGGGGTGAGAGAGGGGAGGGTGTAAAGAGATAAGAGAGGGTGAGTGAAGTGCCTGGTATACAATAGGGGTCAAAGTGTATTCATCCTTCTCCCAGGAGGGCAGAAAGAGAGGAGACAAATCAGAGATGACAATGGGTGGGGGTGCAGGAGGGAAAGGAGCCCAGAGTCTGGGACCTCATACACAGCAGGTGCTCTCAAGATTTCTAGTGGGGAGGGCAGGAGACTGGAGGTGGCAGATGCCCCAGGCCTGGTCCTCAGGGTCACTCCCCTGCCTAGGGCGGAGCAGAAAGCCACTGGCTTCTCTGTAGGAGCTGGAGGCAGGAGCCCCCAGCTGTCAGGACAGGAGACAAGGGTGCATTGTCCTGGCTCTGGCACAGCCTGGTCCAAGGGGGAGGGGAGACTGGTCTGCCGGGTGTGGGGTGCTGCCTAGCCTCTGTATCCCATGACCCACTGTTCCCCATCTGGGCTGACCTTCCTTCCTGCCTCCCTTGTCTTGAGTCCCTGCTCTCCACCCCTCTGTCCTGTTGTGAGGCAGGAAGGAATGACCCTGCTGCCGGGTCTGAGCCCCTCACCCAGGATCTGGGCTGGGCGTGGGTGGGGGCTGAGCAGGAAGAAAGATGGAGGCAGAGAAGAGGGAGCCAGGACAGAACCAGCTTTATTCAGGAAAGAACACAGGGCCTGGGCCCCAGCAAAGAGAGACCCGAAAATAGGAGATGGGAAGGAAGGGGTAGGAAACAAGCAGGCAGAGATAGAGGGAGAATCAGAGAGAGGCAGAGAGATGGAGAGAGATAGAGAAAGGCAAAGATGATAGAGACAAAGACAGACATGGAAAGAGAAATACAGAGAGAAGGAAAATCAGGTCAAGAGAGAGACAGACACATACAGGAACATCAGAGATGGAGGGAGTATTGGGTTGACAGACCCAGAGAGAGGGAGAGAGGCAGAGATAAAGGGAGACAGAAAATCAGAGAGAGAGATGGAGAGACACAGAAGCAGAGAGAGAGGGAGGGAGACAGGGAAAATCAGGCATAGAGATGGGGAGAGAGAGACAGAGAGAGAGACAGAGAGAGAGAGACAGAGACAGAGAGATGAAGGGGCAGACACAGGCAGAGAGAGGTACAGAAGGATGAGGCTGGAGGATGTGGAAGGTAGAAGGAGCCCAGTCAGGAGAGGCAAGCGGACAGGTGGAGAGACACCGGGTGCCTTGTGGGCCACCACGGCAGCAGGACCCTCTCACCTGGCCTCGGTGTCTGCATCCCCAACCCCAGCTCAAGCCCTGCAATTTAAGGGGCACCATAGGGGTGGGTCCTGTCCCTATCCACACCTTATCTGGCCAGACCCTGGCCTTGCAGCTAAATTAAGCCTCAGCTGTCAGCACAGCCAGCAACAGCTGCACAGTCAGCCATACCACCAACCTCCCTCCCATGGCCTGTGCCTCAGGCTCCTGAAGGTCAGCACGGACCCCCACACCCATGGGCATCAGGGAACCCCAGGAACCCACCAGCTTCAGGACAGGCCTGGTCAGGCATGTTAGGGCCAAGGTGCTCTCCTCAGAAGTGAGGTGTCAATGGGGCACCAAGTCAGCCCTAAGGGCAACAGGAAGCACTGAATCTGTGCAAGCCTGCACCCTTCCCTCCACAGGCTCCTCATTTAGAACCTTATTTGGTCACAGCTGAGGGTGCACCTGGGATGTCACAGGCCAAGAATAGAAACACTCAGGGAGTCCTGGCAGCTGTCCCCTACCCGGGACTGGACAGGCGACAGGTGGGGCAGGGGTGGGCAGGAAGGGGGGAGATGGAGCATAGAGAAGGTAAGCAGCCCAGAGACCCAGAGGGACTTCAGAGCCATGGGAAGAGATGGGGTAGTGAGGTGTGGTGGCTTACACCTGTAATTACAGCACTTGGGTACCTGAGGCAGGAGGATCGTGGCAAGTTTGAGACCAATTTGAGGTATACAGCGAGACTGTGTCTCAAAAAGGGGAAAAGGACACACACACACACACACACACACACACGCACGCACACGCACACACACACACACACACACACACACACGTGCACACGCACACACACAAAGAGGTGGCAGAATGGAAGAGTTAACTTGGACACATATGGAGAAGGACAGGCAGACAAAGGAGACCCAGAGAGGGGGCTAGAAGGCTGGAAAAGACAGAGGCCAGGGAGCAGCAGAGGTCCCAGGCTCCAGGGCTGAGTGCTCTGGCCATCCAGGATGTGTCCTCCACATGCTGCCTTGGTTTTTACTTTGCAACTTGCCCTTTGACCTCAGAAGTCTTAAGCCCCTGCCTTTTACTAGCATGGTGCCAGGATGTGGCCTTCAACTCCCGATGAATTCACTACCAGTGTAGATCCTGGCCAAGGTGGGGTGTCATACCCCAACCTGGGCCCCTCCTCACCCATAGTCTCTCCTGGGTCCCTGTTGCCCAGGCCTGTCCCTTCAGCTGAGAACAATCTCTCCCCTTGTTTCCTACAGGCCCTAGGGCTCAGGGCCAGATCCTGGCCCCTCCTTCCCCTCTTGGGGCTCATGCCATCATCTCCACTGTTTCTTCAGGGCCTCCTTCTGGTTCCAGTCCTCCTTCCAGTCTGTCCCAGATAGGCCTGTCTGTCAACACCTCCCCAAATAGCTGTGGTGGTGACAGCAGGGCCGCAGCACTCTGGGTACATCAGCAACTTCCAATTTGGGGCCCCTCGAGGTTCACAGCCTCTTGAGGATGTCTGGCTGGGGACTGTGATGGAGGCACTCCTCTATTGCTCCAGTCTGGTGCCCTAGGAAAATATTCCTTCACCAGCCTTTCAGTCTGTTCCTCACCTCCTGCAGGACTGAGCCCAGCTGGCTCTCCTCAGGCCCAGCTCACCTGAGGAAAGGGCAGCAGCTGTGCCAGGTAGGAACCTCGTCACAGCTTCAGATCTCACACACTGGCTGTCCCTGTGGGGGTCAGAAATTCTAAATGGGCTACCCTGGGCTGGCCTCCTGCTTTAAAGGACCCTGTGACTTCATCCAGCCACCCACCAAGTCCATTGTTCCTGAGAGAGACTGGTTATATCCAGTCCTATGTGCTGTCCAGCTCCCCTGCACTTGGGAAGTCAAGGTCCATGGCCACAGGCTGCTGGACCCATGGCCATCTTTGGTGACTACTGTCAGCCTGCTTCCTCACTGATGGTCTAAACCTTAGAGAGGAGTGGTCCCTGCTTCATCTTATGTTACCCTACTGATTTTGGGAGACAGCGTGTTGGTCTCTGGCTTCTGCCTCCCTCTGGGCAGCGGGCTGTGACCGAGAGCCGTCCCCCAGGAGCTCGGGCGCAGATAGCAAAAGAGCAGATTTATTGAGGCAGCAGTGGTTGGGGGAGTGGGGACCCTAGGGCAGGGCGCAGGCCTCCCGGGGCCTGGAGTTGCAGGCACTGGATACTCGGGGCTGTGGCAGCAGGCGACTGTTCACAGGCAGCGGGTCAGCTTGTGTGCAGCCAGCAGCCGGCCTCCTCCACCTCCTTGGTCACCACCAACAGCACCTCGCACAGGCCTTGGGCCAGGGCAGCTGCCAGGAAGGCCCTGTGGAGATGAGGGGAGACTGAGATCTGGGCAGTTCAGGCAGGTCCATGTCTCTGCGGGGTCTTCCCAGTGCTGGCCTCAATCTGTTATTTCCTTCACCACTCACCTGACACCATCCTCGTCCCCCAGCACTTCAGGTGCCCGGAGCTTTGAGTCCAGGTTATAGTAGATGCCCTCCACCTGGCGCAGGGCCACCCAGTGCCGACGGCGCAGCGGCAGGGACAGCAGCCCCAGTGACACAGGAGAGGGCAGGTTCAGGATCAGGCCTAGCACCTGGGGCAGGGCCAACTGGGACAGCGGTCTGGGGAGGGGAGGGACACAGCATGAGGCCCCAGAGGCCCTGGGATCCTGCTCCCCTCCCCAAGGGCCACTCACCCACCCACTGACCCTCTACTCGTCAGGTCATCTTTGCTTTTTTTTTTTTTTTGGTTTTTTCGAGACAGGGTTTCTCTGTGTAGCTTTGCGCCTTTCCTGGAACTCACTTGGTAGACCAGGCTGGCCTCGAA